ATTAACAGAATATGTTACATTGTATTCAAGATTTTCTTAATAATTTTGTCTTTTATTCTAGCAATTTGTTCACTTTACCCAAATAGGTTGGGGTTTTTGAATAAACCGGCCACAACTGGGGTATCCAAGTTGCGACGACACAGTTTGGAACCTTGTTCAGCCAAATACAGGTGTATTTATTTGTGTGCATGGGTTCCAGACCCAAATATATATACTGCAATAAAAACTTGTCAATCTGACTTCATTATTGTACCTGATATAAACCTGATTTTTTGTGAATGAATTAATGCCCATATAAACAAACACTTTCAAATTCGTATCAGAACTGTGCACTTGAATGAACTTGTGGTGTCAGGAACACAATAGCAAATGGGCGTTCAACCAGTTCTTTATAGGAAACATTGGGCTTATGTGCTGATCATATTTATTGATCCTGTATGCATTTAATACATACCTATCATTTCTGGAACATTATTGATGACGTAGATGGCGTTCAACTAAAGCATACAGTAAAGATGTAGGGGTTCCGATGGCTTTCTTGTTTCATTGTTTATTCTAACAAAGTTATTAGTCTGCAAAACTGAGTATTATTAGTGTGTACAGTTTTATACGCATATGTGTAGTTGCACTAAAGCTCTCACACTAGGACCTAAGTTTATAAAACTGAATGGTCTTCATGCTATAACTAATCTGTTCTTTCCTACCGTGCATATTGTTCCTTAATATACAAGTTACAGGTCATTATTGTCAATGACATGCATGTAATTCCTGTCAATTTTTTAGTGAATGTACTATAAGGCAAACTATTCATATAAATATTCAGATACAATGATTAAACAAGATTGGAGTCACAAATAGTTTGAAGTGTCAATTAAAAATTTTAAATGGAAGTGTATGTATATTTTTTTTTAAATGTAGGTGAATACAAACGAAAAGTGATTGTAAAATTAATATGAAAATGCATTAAAAAAGAAAACGAATTTTAAAACGTAAATGGATTTGAAAATGAAAATAACTGAAAATGGAAATGGGGTTGAAATTGGAAAAGAATGGTTCAAATGGGAATGGAATTTAAAATGCAAATGAATTTTGAAAATGAGAATTGATTTGAAACTGAAAATAAATTTTAAATGAAAATGAATTTTAAAACAATAATGAACCTAAAAAAGAACATGGATTTTTGAAATGGAAATGGATTTGAAAATAAAAATGGATTTTGCTAATTAAATAGATTTGAAATTGAAAATTGATTTTAAAAGAAAAATGAAATTGAAAACGAAAATGAAAATGAATTTTGAAATTAAAATGGATTTTCAAACGAAAATGATTTTTAAAATGGAAATTGGTTGTAACATGAAAATGGATTTTGAAACGAAAATAAATGTGAAATTGAAAATGAGTTTGAATATCAAAAATGAAATCGAAATATTTTTGTGTCATGACGTGAGCAACGTATACCGTCTCCTTAATTGATTCAAATTCACTTGTAGGTTCTCTTCTGTCTAGACTGTGTCAATACTTATGTTGTTAGTCTTTGACCAATCTCCCCCGTTTTAAAGTTACTTAGGCACCAAACTCCATTTCGGTGTCATCACTGAAGCTCTTATGTGAAGGAGCCACCTATGTGAATGAGCCCGATTTCTTTAGAAAAGGTTTTTAGGGCATTCATATGTAGAATAGATGGTTAATTGTATCCTACTGAGATCCATACCCAGACGTGATGTTGTTGAGCATAGAAATGAGGAGAGCAAGGAAAAGGCAGATGAGCAAGGGTGATAGTGAGGGTCCGGCTTTCTAAGTTTACTGGACGTATTTCCAGGGATGGCAACAATGTGACGCGATGAATAATGAATATATGAAAAACCAAAAATATATACCTAACTGAAGATTTGGTACATTCCACACACAGCTAATGAAAACACGCTGATGTTTTCGTGATTGATATCTACACGTGTAAACTAAGGTTGTATGTGATGTTAACACGTGTTCTTGTGCTGAACGTTGCCAGTTTCTCAATTCATCATACTTTGATTTCGCTATGTTTAATTCGGTTGAAGTGAGATAAATTTTGGATAAAAAAAATATATTGTTGTAAGAAGAAGTTGCCACTTAAGCATTTCAGCACATACTGAGCGTCTAGCATGAGTTATGAACCTCAGTTCAATTGTAAGCCGTGCTAAGCTTATTATCTCAGAATCGAAAATTCGAATATTTTTTTTTATTGTACAGAATAACTTGAGTTGATGTAGTATTTATTTTATTTTTGTTTGATAAACTACACAGATGTTTATAAAATATGTTTATAATAGTAATAATAGTTTTTATTTCGAGAACCAGCTCATAACAAAAAGTTGAACATTACTTAAAAAAACACTACAGCAAAACAGAAATGAAATTAGAAATAGGTGCCTTATAAATATCAGAAAAGACCCACTTCCAGTAGTTGCTGTCCCTCAACATGTCAATGGCTGCCACAATTAAACAATTCACACTAGCAGTCAATATTGTGTAAAAGCCAGTCCTAGACTTGCGCAGAATAATTATAAAGTGGGAACACCATTTAAAATCTGAGTTTCAGAAATACTCAAGTTACGACTGACATGAAATATATCACGGAATGCATTGTTATAAGCAACACGCACAGCATTCAGATTAGCTTTGGAAAATAAAGCCTATAAATCGGTTTATACTGTCGACAGAGTTCATTCGCGGGGTGACTCAAATACCTTGTTCACGTTCTTCAGAACTTGGTTTTGATACTTCATTTGTCCCCTCTACCATGCAAGTTTTATTATTCGTAATCAATGCATCAGCATAAGATATCGATTTCTTCTTGGTTTGAATACTGGTATGAGCAGGTGTACTTGCCTGTTGATAACAAGGATTAGCCCCGGTTACTGCATCAATGGAGTCGCTCAAACTAGTACGTAATAGAGAGTCGTATCAATCAGCGACG